CTGGGTAACTTATTTGGAAGTTTGAGGAAGTTTGGGTAAAGGACTTTCCCCTGTTTGCTTTTTTTACTTGATTAATTTAGTTTCAGCTTGACTGTCAGTTAACTAGTGGAGACACTGATTCTCAGAACATTGTGGATTCTGTTAAGGTTTTAAGGGAAAATGGAAACAGGATAAATAATAAAATATATTAGGATATAAAACTTCTCACAAGAGCTAATACACAAAGCTGAATCATCTTTCAAACTACAGTTACTGAGATTTGAGATGCATAATCTTTTAGTGAAATCTCAGAATTTCTGCTTTACCCTAGAACTGGTTGGAATAAAAGAAAGAGGTTCTCTTCTTCCTTTGTGGACCTGCTGTCCAGTTGAGTGCCTTGTTTTCAGATCAAGAAAGGAAGGAAGGAAGGAAGGTAGCAGACAACATGAGCAAGAAGGGGAACTCAGACTGCCTATTCTGTCCTTTTAAACTGCAAGCATCCTGACACAAGGCATGAATTAAAAGCATCTGGATGAGATAAATGAGATAAGATGGTGAGATATAGATATTTTCTAATGGTTGTCTGGTGCTCTTGTCTAGGACTATCACCTCTATTTGTGGTAAAATTCCTAAGGTTTTAATAGCTCCAATTATAGGAGCTAATAATTAAAGGTGTGGGAGTAATTTATTAGGAAGAGAAAGACAATTCAATGCACAAGACAAGGTTTATCCTTATGTCTTGCTAACTGTAGCAAGATTCCCTGCCAAACAACTTCAAAGATAATGTCTATATGTTATTGCCTTTGTCTCATCCCCAATCCATTGTAGCTGTTCCAATTTTACAACAACAAAAATTTACAAGAATTTACAAGAATTTCCCCCTTCCTCCAGCACAAGTCTTGCCATAAAGCCTATGATATTTCATTGATAAAATGGTGATGACTGATAATATGGTGAAGAGGGACATTTTGGCTTTTTCAGACTGTTGAAGATACGTCTGTTCCTCTCCAGTAGCTGCACATTTTCTACCACGTCATTTTAACTTAGACTCTAAGGAGACAGCTGGATTTCTGACTTCTGCTAAGTGGCTGCTTGCATAATGCCTGACTGGTCTTTTGGAAAGCACTGATGGGCTCTCTATATAGTTCCCTGCTTTCTTTTAAAGGGCACTTTTAAAAAATCTGTGTTTTTCAAATCTGTGTTTAAAAATCAGGTGGTGCTCCCTAAAGTGAATGCAAATCCAAGCAAGGGAGCCTGATTTTATCTTCTCTGTGTTTGTTCCTATCGCAAATGAACACGCTATAGAATCACTGCTGCTTCTGCTGAGAAAAATCAGCTTTACTTTATTCTGTTTTATTACTGGGAGATGGTGTAGGAAGTTAGCACCCACCCCTCTCCTAGAAAAATGAAATATCCTGGGAAATACTAAAAAGGTAGAATATTTCCTCTAAAAAAACTAGAAACTCAAGAGCAGAAACTCACCTCAGAAGCAGAAACTCACCCCCACCTTTGTTAATGGGTGGACCATTAAGACCTGGACCAGAATACTTTACATAATAAAGATCTCCAGGTAAAACTATAGCAATTGCTCAAAAGCTCTTTAAGGGCTTCATCATCCAGCAAGGCTCAACCAAACCTGGAACTCAGGACATCCTACAGAGTTGCCCCTGCATGGCCTCACGGGAGTCTGACAACCAATCAGAATACAAGCTCCAATTCAAATCCCAACAAAGGTTATAAAACCCAGGCACTCTCAAACCCACTCAACTCACCCCTTCTTGACCTTCTCACCTTGAAGCATGTGATCATCTTTTCTTTTTCACTTTGGAGCTCCAAGCCATGGGGTCCTGCTGTCCACCATTAAACTATCTTTCCAAATAGCCTTCATGTTTCCAGTGTCTTTTTCCCCACTTGGAACTGAACCCAGAAGGATATTTCTTCCAACAGTGGGAAGGAAGGAAGAAGTGCCATTTTGCTTACTTCTATGCTACTGCCTACTTCATAGGCTCATTGGCTGCTTACTGCCTGTACTGCTATTACTCCAGGCAATTTATGATTTGGGATATTTGTGTGAGATTGTGAAGAGACTGAGGATATACTGGAAGGGGTAATAGACATAAACAGCCAAGAAATGGCAAGCAGGTTTGTTGGCAGCTTAACTTAAAATGCTAAGTCAGGCCAGGTGACAAGAAACTTGGGAAAAAGCGTTTCAAATCAGAGATTTCCCCTTAATGAATTTCCTATAAATGAAGGTTAGAAATTCCTCTTTCAGTTTCCAAGATTCCATATTTATCACAAGAATAGCATGGAGGATACCTTACTAAAGGCTGCAAGGTGTCCGGAGCAGGGGTGGGATTCTACCGGTTCTGTCTGGCTCTACAGAACTGGTAGCTCTGAAGAGCAGCAGACACAGAACCGGTTCTGTGTCTGCTGCTGTTTTGGCCCACCCACCTGCCCAGGCTCTTACCTGTCCTTTATTTCCTACTTTTTCAACTGTAGCGGTTTTGCGCGGCACAGCTGCGTTTGAAAAAGCAGGAAAAAGAGCTTTTCCAACCGCTGTGCACTCGCACGCAGCGCTGCTCAGCTGTCCGGGCAGCTCAGCAGGTCGTAAATTGCACTCGTGCGATTTGCGCATGCCTGCGCAACGCACAGCAACAGGACTGGTAGTTATACCGGTTGGATTCCATCCCTGGTCTGGAGGGGGTACTCTCTCAAAAAAATCAAGATGGTAGATCCAATAGGCAGACTAACTTTGATCTCATTGTCATGGCTGCCATCTTGATTCTCCTCCTCCAAACTCTGCAAGGACTCCTGAAAATGCATAGTAGATGGGCAATACCTTCCCACTTTAGCCTGCATCCACTCACCTTGTGTTCAGCCTGTTAAGCAAGCTGCTTTTTTGGATAGAAACGGAGCTGCATTCAGAAATAGCCTGAAAAAGCCCAAATGCAAAGAACATATTCATGTTGGCAATCTCTTTCTTGGATACCTTGAAAGGGGGCTA